TCCTCATGCAGGATAAGCCCAGGACAGGCAGGGTTCCTCATGCAGGAGTAAGACGCGGCGACTGTGCCAGTGACGTGCAGCGAGGGAGTTCCCCGGAGCCCCTCATTAATGACCTGCCACCCAATCCCGAGGATGGCCCCGGTGCTTTCCCCCCGGGATACACTTCCCTGCTCTCTCCTGTTGCTGCTCAACCCCGGCTGTGAGCGATGCCCCGGCCCTGCAGCTCGGCGGCGGTTTCTCGACAGTGTTTCTGTTGTTCGCTTCAGAATAAACATTATTTTCGAAATCCTCCCTCCAGGGACTCACCCGAGGGTCCCCCGAGGATCCCCCACATCCGACCCCGCTCACGCGGCACGGGCTGAACACTGAGCTATTCTACTGCCCCGTATTTTCCAAGAGCAAACTCCAAACATTTCTGGGTTTGCTCACCCCCCCGTCTGCTCTGAACGTGCTTTCGCTCAGCCAGGAAAACCGAAGGAGCAGAGCCTGTGGTCTGCTCGTGTGCACCTGGGGCAGCCTCTCAGCAGGGCAGGGGAGGGAGAAATCTTGTGAGGGTCCTTTGTTCCGACGCTAAAAGCACAGTGGAGAAGCTGCAGCGGGACATACAAACGTTCCTGAAATGGCTGAGGGCCAACAGGGAGAACTCAGAAGTGCCCAGGGTGGATTAGGATGAAAACGGTCGGTCACAGTGAGAAAACCCCCTTCCTTTACACTCCAAGAGCTTCCCAAGGGCAGCAGAGGCTCCTCAGGTGTTTCTCAGGGGCTGCACCTCACCTGTGCTGTGCTGAAAGTGCCCCAGAGGACACAGCCCAGCCCTGCTGCGAGCAGTCTGGTGGTAACACATTCATTAATTAATCAACCAGTAACTTCTGCAAGTGTTTTCTGTGATGAACAGTCCACACAGGCCCTCTACAGATTTTGTTTTTCCTTCCTTAACAAGGACTGCAGCGAATCCTTCACCAGTCCAAGAAGCCCCAGGGCAAGCCTGGGAGGCAAAGACTGTTTTCTCAGAAGCAAGTCAGAACAGCACATATCAACCCCCCTCCTCCTGCAGCAGCATCTCTGCACCCTCCACTGAAGGAGAGTTCCCTAGGGATGAAAGAATTCAGATTTCCATGACTCCTTCAGTTAGACCTGCTAAGAAGGGCAAGGCAGCAAGGGGATGGGGACAATGTGACACATTGCAAGGGGCTTTGGAGCCTTCTGACACCTGTGAGCCAAGTGAGAATCACAACATCCCACCCCCCAGGAATCCCACCTGTTTTCACTGAGGAAACACACTCTGATGGCACTGGGAACATTTTCGCACAAGAATCCAAGTGAAAAGTTCCTGAAGCACTGAGATTGTGAGAAAAACACGTGAGAACCCAACAAGCACAAACACCTTCCTGGGGGATCACTGAGGCCAAATGAAGTTAAGAGGTGGGAGCTCCACAGAGGGGCCATCAGGACATCCACAAAAACAAACCCAACAAAAAAACCTGGCTCCCTGTGCTGAAATGAATAATCTTTCAGCACCAAGGAAACTGAAAGCCTGGAAAGCTGCAGGTTATCCACGACCAGCAGAGCAGGGTTTGGATTGTATTGCTCACACCATAAATCACCCTGTCAGCTGCCCCAGCCATTTCCACTGGCCACAGTGGAACTGGGTAAAAGTGCCAGGCCCTCTCACAACATCCACAGAGCCCAGAACGAGGAGAGGAAAAATAAAATCACACCCTGTGCCTTTTTCCGGAATAACAATCCCCACATTTGCATAGAGCAGTTCAGTGCCTTTCTGATCACACCTCTGGGTGCATCAAAAGCCTTATTAATTTCCATCGAGGAGGATTAAGAAGCTTAAATCGTTAGCACTCATTTACTCAGACTTAATGCATTTTTAAAGCTGCCTCATTTTATGCTGATGTGCAGGTGCTAATCAGCAGCGAGAAACACTTAAAAGGGAGAAAACTCCCAAAGGGTTAACCCCAGGGACCGGCATCCAGCGGGTCCAACCTCGTGCAGAAGCCCAGCAGGTATTTTGGACCCTGGGTTGGGAACATCCAGCATCCTCCTCGGCGGGAGCTCCCGCAGGGGTTTCTCTGGCACAGCTTCTCGCTCGCATCACGTGTGTGGCCCGAGAACAACCCCTCGGCTCCCCACTCGCTTTCCTGTGCGAGTGATAAGGAGGAAATCCGTCCCAGACAGGCAGCCAGACAGCTCAGCCTGCAGCCAGCCCGCGTGCCCGGCACCTCCAGCGGAGGTGGCCGCCAATTCCAGCGGGGTTGGGGCTGTGCCGGGGCAGCCCCCGGGCCGGCTGGCGGCGGGTCAAGAGCAACAAGCCCCGGGTGTCCCAGCGCACAGCCCGTCACTCCGGTTACTCACTGCGGTGACCTCACAGCGAGCCGTGCCCTTGTGCCACCGGGGCTCTGAGCTACGCCTCGTCTGCTCTTCCCTCCCACTGACCACTGATACGAGACAAAAATCCCCATCCCGCTGTGTCCTCAGCACGCACACACCCCCCCAGAGCGGCAGGGCCGGGGAGAAGCGCTCGCTGTTACCTGCACTCGCCCCCCGCGCGGCAGCCGCGGCTCTCCCATGGCTGTGCCGGCGCCAGGCTGGACCCCGCGGCTCCAGGGGGATCTTCTGCCGCGCTGCAATAGAAAAGGTTGGTTTAAAGCTCCTTATTTGGGCAGTGATGTCAAGGGAAGTCGCTCGGGCAGCGCCACCCCCTTTTTTCCATTCACTCCACATTGTTTCCTGTTGTCAAAGCAGCTGCTGGGGCTCAGGGCACGGCCGCGGGATCCTCCGGCCCCGAGATCGTCCCGCTGCGGGATCATCCGGTCCCAGGGATCCTCCAGCCCCGGAGACCCTCCTACTGCGGGATCCTCTAGCCCGGGAACCCTCTAGCTGCGGGATCCTCCGATCCCAGGAATCCTCCAACCCCGGGGGCTCCAGCTGCGGGATCCTCCGGTCCCAGCGATCCTCCAGCCCGGGATCCTCCAGCC